CTCCCGTTTATCGTACGGAATTTGTTACTGGGGATCTTCTGTAATGGCACCAATCGTCTTCAAAGTACAAAAAAGAATCATACGATGCATACTGGGAGTAAACCAAATGATTCCGTGCAAGGACCTGTTTCGGAAACTAAATATACTAACCCTAACAGGACAATATATCTTGGAGATAAGTACAATACTGCATAAAAACCAAAGCACAATACCAAAAAATAGTGATATACATAACTATAACACGAGGAGAAAACAAGACATGTACACTAGCTACAAAAAACTAAACTTGTCAAAGAAAATATTGAGAGAAATGGGAATAAACATATATAAGAAACTACCATATGCAATTACAACACAAAACACAAGAAAATTCAGACAATCCCTAAAGCAATGGCTTATGGATAAATGTTTCTATGACATAAGAGAATTCTTAGACCACAATAATCGTAATTAGAATAAGACTTTCATTATTGCAAGGACTTTACCTTTCTGCGGATAAACTTATCAAAAAAATAAAATTAGTCTCCTAAACTTTCTCATCACATACCAAAAACAGCTCTTGAAATCGCGAAGGATGTACGACATGCGAATTCGCGTCACAACAATAGTGATTATGTGAAAATTTAAAATTCTGTACCGCGTGAAGCAAATTTGTCTGTACAGAACACTCTGGAATACATTACGCAGTATTTTTCTTTCGAAACCACAGCTGAAAATCAGTTTCAAATAAGGCTTGCAACTCATATACCCTTCTGTTTCGCGTATACTAATTTGGGGATTGTCTGCCATATTACTTTGTTGCTAAAATATTGCTGTAATTCAAATTCGGGATCAATTTTATTATTCAGCATTTGAAGCGTTGAATCAATATTTCGCGGTTGACGTTTTACTTATATTAGCTATAAAGTTAAATATGAAAAATTTGAAGCTACAAATTTGATATTGCTCTATAATTTTGTTACCAAATTGTTACTATAATTTAAATTAGGGATCAACTTTGTTTTTTAGGTTTTGAACCGTTGAATTAATATTTTGTGGTTGGCGTTGTGTACTTATATTGACCTCTAAAACTAAATGTGAGAAATTCGAAGCTACAAATTCAATACTGCCAAATAATTTTGAGCCAATTTGATGTTTGCAGATATGATTGGAATCGTCTTAATTATTTATTTACTACTTAGTCGAATGTTTTTAAATAATTTACAGTGTTAAAGAAAATGCAGTTAGTAGGTAATTTAACTTATTCTTAAGATGATTCACCAGTCTGTGAAACTTACGATAGAGGTTGAGAGGGATGGAAAACCACCATTTTTAGTCTTTTTATGTCTTACTTGGAAGAAGTAATGATGTTGTTTTTAAGATTCACTGGTATTAAAGAAGTAGCCGATTTTAGGTATCTAGAAAGTCAGATAAGTCAGGACAGAAGGAGTAGTACGGATATAAAGCAGAAGATAGCGCAGGTCGAGTCGCCTTCAATAAAAAGAAGTCACTTCTATGCTCGCGAATAGTTAATTTAGAATTTCGGAAAAGGTTGTTAAAGGTGTATTTCTATCTGTTGATTGTAAACAAGTTTTTATTTCAGGAATGGTTAACACATTGACTGCTGAATAAAGCAGCTCAAATATGCCTTTCAGTACCATAAATTAAGAGAATTTCGGATAACATTAAATGTTTGCGCTGTAACTACAATATTACCATTGCATTTAAACTTTATAATAATACATCTTATATNAGTCCATGTTTTAAGTGTTTGCAATGGCAACATCGACAACCAGACTTGAATTTAAAAACATTTCAAACCTTGATGGATCAAACTTTCAATTATGGAAATTTAGTATCCAGGTTTTATTGAAAGCAGAAAAATTTTTGGATATAGTAAATGGTAGTGAATTTGAATGGAAGACAGAAGTAAACCAGAATGGGCAACATGGGATACTAAAAATTCCAGGGCTCAAGTTATTTTGCTACCTATAATGACACAGAATCAGATGCAGTATTTGATCAATTTCGAAAATGCAGCAACAATGTGGCATGACAAGTGCGGCAATCTATACATGAACAGAACACCGAAATTTCCAAGGAACTTCTGTGGCAGAGGTTTTATGAGTATAAGATGTCTGAAAATTCTAAAATAGCAGGACACATTGCAACAGTTCAATTATTGGGGAAACAGTTGAAGAACGTTAATAAAAATATTAGCAACAGCTCTATTTGTTCAAAGGTCAAAGACTCAAACAGTTTACCGGATATATACAATAATTTCCGAACAGCTTCGGATTCTGTCTCACACGATCGGCAAACTTTTGAAAATGTGACAGCCAGATTACTCAAAAAAGAGACAAGAATGATGAAGGACGACTCAGAAACATCACGGTTAGCTTTAGAAGTAAGTTTTGCAGAGTAAACTAAACAAAAGCATAACGAAACTAAAGAAAAACACCAGCTGTAATTACAAATAAATACAAATGGATCTGATGGCGATAGTTCTACCTACATTTGTGATATCTCGTCATTATATTCAGCAAGCTCTGACAAACAGAGTGGATCTGTGATTTTGGTGCAAATGTTCACATTACCAGTGGAAGAATTGAAGCCACTTGATCAACTAATGTATGTCAAAATATCAAACAATAAAAAGAAGAAAAAAAATAAAAAATCAAAATTAGCTGTAATATCAATTTCAATGAAGAAAAATCATTAAAAATTGAACAAGAAACGATTACATTAAGCTTTAGTAATTATGAAATCAACGAACAAGAAGAACCACGGAAAATCAAATAATTAAGTTGAAAATTACAGCGACAACAGATACAACTGAAAACAATGTAGAAGATTATACATTTCGAGTACGAAAATGCAGGTGAATAATTATAATAATCAACCAAAACAATTGACAAACAGGGCTCAATTAGGTCGTCCTGATTAGTGTGATGCGTCTGCTGTGTATTGTTCGTTATTTCAACTAGCCTCTTACGAAGAAACCGTAAAGTGTAATGATTCCGGAAAATGACATGTAGAAAAGAATGCAGGAAAGAGCGCAATTGAAAAACAAAAACTTGAGCTACTATTTTCATGAAAAAGTGCACTTTTGGAAGGAATTGGAACTAAATCTTGCTGAAACAAAAGAGCAAGTAGTCATTGGATTGTGGTCCAAGGAACTGAGCAGTTTTATTATATATGAAGATGAGTTTTATCGAGATATCGTACAATATGAGCCGACAGAAGATGCTCGTAAATGCAGAATAACAAAACCACAAGAAAATCAGAAGGACACACAGGTTCAATTAACTAGATTTTAAGCGGAAAAGAAAAATTGCCGCCGAAGAACGAGAGAGAACAACCATTATGTTTGATGTGTAAAAATTACGGACATTACGCTCGCGAGTGTTCTCAAAAAGTGAAAAAGGTAGCAGACAATAAAGAAACAAAACGAGAAGTGCAACATATCGACGATGCGTCCGGAAATATGAAATTTTTCAAAAACGCGAAAATCAATAAAGTCAAAAAGAACCGTTATGTGGATCTCGGTAGCCGCGTGTGCGTACTGCTAGATGATTTCGTGCCTACTGTCAGAATTAAACTATGACTGGAACAAAAAGAACGAAATTGTAGGTTATGGAGGTGCTGTAACAAAAACTTTGGGAACCGCCGAGGTTGATCTCGAAATTGACGGCGAACTGCCAAAGTGACGGTATTCGTCATCCGTTTACCGAACAGCCTCAAGTGAAAATCGCGAAAACATTGGAAGAGCTTCTTATCGACGAATCGGGAGTACTGGAAACCCTTAAGTGCGTCAAAAGTGGTGATATATACGAAGAACATGTCGGAATTCCAGATAACTATTTCGGGCACGTGGTAGTACGAAGTTACGTGAAAAATACACATCGAAGGTGGAATGCGAGGGGCCGACGGACTGGTACCTAGATGACACCGTTCTTCTTGTTCTAAACGTCGGTGGAAAATCGGTGACAATTAAAAATAACGAAAAAGTCGCACACAGAGAAACATGCCAAGAAGGTTTTGTGCGACGGGAAATTAACGAGTTACCAGTAAAGGCGGCCGAAGTAAACACAGAATTAACGGATAGTGATTTTGACAAGGTACTCACCTTAGTAAACTTAGGTGTACCCATTTGATCGAGATGGATCTACAATTAGAAGATGAAAAACCAGTGTTTTATCAACCCCATAAAATGTCACACAGTGAAAGGCAACAAGTGAGAAACATCGTGCAGGAGCTGCAAGAGGCTGGCATCGCTGAGGAGAGGTATTCTCCATTTGCAAGCCCAGTGTTGTTAGTAAAAAAGAAAATTGGTGGTGTGCATATGTGCGTGGAGTACAGGGCGTTGAATAAGAAAACAGTGAAGCAGCACTACCCACCCATTCCCTCTCATTGACGACCAACTGGACCAGGTTTTTATTTATACTGCATTAGATTTGGATGATTCCTATTACAAGGTCCCAATGTCCAAAGATTCTAAACATAAGGCCGAGTTTGTTACTCCGGATGGAGTATACTGTTTTAAACGTATGGGTTTTGGGCTGCTAATATCCTTGCCTATACTTTCAAATACGTTTCCGATCTGCAAACATTTACTTAATTTTCTTATCTTACAGTGCCCTATCATCTCCTGCAAGGTTGCTACTTATTTCAAAAACACTCTTATCATTATATCCGTATAAACCTACTTTTGTGATGTCTTGCAAAGCAAGTTGCAGGCCTGTAAAGCTTCGGAAGTCCTATCTGTTCAGCCGTTTCAAAGATTAACCAATATAGACAGACGAATTGTTTTTAGGGGTTGTTTGTGCCTTAATAGCATATAAATAACCAAATGTGCTTAAAAAAGTAAGTTATTTGGATATTACAAACATTATTTTATTTATATGTACAAATGTATAATCAGAATTTAGCATTTTATGACGTGTACAAATTATATATTTAAATGGCTTTATACTGTACCTTTCACAAAAAATACAAAATTAAATGATTAAGCATAACACTTACCTTCTTCTGATTGGCTCTTCTATTTCAGAAAGTTCACCAGTAGACCGACAACGAGTACTTTCTTTCGATTGTTCAAGACTATCAACACGAATGTGCATGTCTTCGGAGACTTTGTTACTTCTTCTCTTGAACCATCTTGTAAATTTCCAAAACGTTTTCTTTGAAGCTCCTAAAACAAAAGAAACGAAAGAGATAATATAAAAAAACATTTCAGAATAGATATGTAGAGGATGTCGGTACTCAAATAAACTCTGTAAAACCTATAGTACAGTGTTTCAAATAAAAATTATCCTTTCTTTAAGAACCATTGATTTAGGCGTTATATACATTGGAATCAACAACTTCGAGAAATCCTACAATTAGAAGTCAGTTTCATAATTCTTCTTCTAACTTTTTTAAGGCTACTAATCCTCGTAATTTTATTTCCCAAAAACGTCATCAAATTGATAACGAGCACCCGGTAGATGAAATATTCTATAGTTAACAATCAAAAGTGTATTATGACCAAGCTGATACCAAATAAGATATTTCAGATAGCTTTGATAATAATGATTAATTCTATTTGCCTGATAATTATATTTGGCATGACAATGATAATAATTATCCTGAAATTCCATTCACCGAGAATAATTATAACAACCAAACTGAAAATTTTCCATTGACAGATCAAACAAACAGTGTGACGTAGTAACAGAACTAAATCATTTTTCTAACAACAACCCGTTACCTTATATAATAATTAAAGATCCAACCATTAAATTATTAATAGATACAGGTTGTTTTAAATCCATCATTAAGCATTCTGTAGCAAAAAATATTTTCCTTAGGCAAACTATCATAAACTTTAAAAATAAAAACAGGCACTGGTGAAAAACAGCTTTCCCCGAATTTAACTCTAATAAAAATATTTCTTTCTTACCGTTTGATTTCCATGAGTATTATGATGGTGTAATAGGCATAAGTGTTCTTTTGGAAATGACATTTTCAATAGATATGAAAAAACGATTTTTAATTAAAGAGAATACAAGAACTCCCTTTAAATATAGAACACCCATCAAAACTTTTAGTGTCAATGCACAAGAGGCACACATTGTAAAATTACCTGCTAACTTTCCTGAAGGTGACATAATAATACCCGAACAATCTATAACGGTATTGCAGATATCTCAATTTAATTATCTTTAATTCAACTAGTACGGTTGTTAATAAGATCAACTTTATTTATAATTAAAAAACTATACTGATAGTAGAATAACACTTACGTTAAATGAACTCTTACATGTAATACCTTTTCCTAACTCAAATAAACAAAATTTCAATTTCTTCCATGTAGAGCATTTCTTAAGATAATTTAGGCAATTGCAAAAATAGCGATATTGAAAAATTAATTCATACTGACCATCTAAATCACGAAGAAAAACACGCTACACTAAAACTGTGTAAAGAATTTTCGGATATATTTCACGAAAATAAAAAATTAACTTTCACAAATAAGTCAACATAAAATAAAAACAACAAACAAAACTCCAGTACATACGAAATCTTATAGATATCCTTTGGTCCACAAAAGAAGTACAAAAACGAAATGGTAATGCACCCGCTACGTTTGAGGGTCGTGTATAACAGCCATAGAGAGTTACAAGGAAAGGTTTGTTTTGTGTATATGAACAATATTATCATTTTTTCCACATCCTTGCAAGAATTAAAGGTATTCAAAATTTCCCCATACCTAAAACGGTTAAAGAAATAAAATCATTTTTAGGACTTTTAGGTTACTATAAGAGATTTATAAAAAAATTCGCCAAAATAACCAAACTTTTCACACATGTTTAAAAACAGGAAAAAAAATAGAACATACGGAAGAGTTTCGGAAAACATTCTATTTGTGTAAAAATATTCTTTGCAATAATCCCATATTACAATATCCTGACTTTTGTAGACCTTTTATTATAATAACTGACGCTTCTAATGTAGCAATGGGCGCAGTATTAAATCAACGGCACGGTTGGTAATGATTTGCCTTTCACAAATGCATCACGGACATTAAATCCTGCCGATTGTAACCATAGCACGACGGAAAAGAAGCTGTTACCGGTAGTTTGGGCTACTAAATATTTTAGGCCTTATTTATTCGGTCGAAAATTTTTTATAGTCACTGATCATAAACTGTTGTTATGGTTTTATAGTCTCAAGGAACCGAATTCGCGGTTGGTACGGTAAGACTCAAACATGAGAAGTACGGTTATAAGATCATATATAAAAGAGATAAACAAAACACGAATGCTGACGCACTGCCCCATGTTAAACTTTATAACACTGAAAAAGAACCAAACGAAAATTAATCGGTCGTTGCACATATAGGTGATTAGGACGATACTTTAGAAAAATACCTTAATAACCCAGATCTCATACCGGTCCCGAACGAACCTCAATTTATAAGTAAAGTCAGCCAAAGACGAAAATGACAGTGACATAGAAAAAGTACACAAATACCTGGAAAATCTTATCATGGAAGTACTACCTACTGAAAAACCTCTCAATACATTCAAAAATGAGGTTGTTATATAGTGTAATAGCAACAATATAGCTACCCATGTAAAAATTTCTAAAGTTTTTGACAAAAAATGTTTTCCTGTATCCTTTCCTAATGTAAATTTGGAAAACGAAATTGTTCAAACACTAAAAGAATATTTTGATAACAAGCAAAGCTATTGTCTTTCAAAATTCCTAAATTATTAATTATCCCAACTTTCATGAAAATTATTCAAAAATACTTAAAAAATAATGCATTTAAATTCGTTCAAAGTAATAAGTTTTTGCAGGATGTACAAAAATTGAAGAACAAAAGGAAAAGCTAAAATATTTCCATGAAGGTAAAGCATGCCATAAAGGTATAAATAAGATGAAACCTTCACTCAGCAAAACGTATTACTGGCCTAATATTATTAATGACTTTACTGATTACGTAAATTCTTGCGATATCTGCCAAACAGCAAAATATGACAGAAATCCTCCCTAACTAAATTTTCAGTTAACACCAACTGCTAGAAAATCCTTTGATCATATCCACATCGATGTTTTTCATATTTCCAATCAGCCGTTTATCACAATTTTAGATTCTTTCTCTAGATACCCTATTCAATCTTTGCATGTTATAAATATTACTGACAACCTTATAGTTTATTTCTCATCACGGTCTACCCTGTAAGATTACTGTAGACAGAGGAAGAGAATTATGCTATCATTGGTTAAATTAGTGCAATACATTCAGTTACTCAGCGTACCCCTTTCCAAGTAATTAATGAACATTTTCACTGGCGCGGGGAACCCCAAATCGACATGTCCCACAATATTATTTCAGATTTTAATTCACTAATACATAATAATGATTGGTCGGATTCTGTGGACCAATTTGCATGTACGGAAGGGCCCGGCAGAGATTTGGTACAGAAGGCTACCCACGAGAATGTTTATGTGGCCAGAGTGGAAAGATCTGTTGCGAGCAAATTTTAGACAAAAACGCGACTCCATAATAGCTATGATGAATTGTAACCCAAAACCACATCAAAGTTTGTATGAGTATCTTTTTGAAAAACTGGCTTAAATATTATATTTGTNCTTCGTTGGAGCTTTTATATTCGCGATGTATGATCTCGTGAGAAGAAACTACCATATGATGAGACAGGATGATTTGTATACTTTCTTTGATTGGAAAAAATATACGCGCAAATTAGCGATATACATTTTAATATGTACGAGCAAACAGTTTATTTAATAGACATATTATTACTAGATGCGAATACATTGTATGATATCGCAGGAAGAAATAAAACGATCGAACACCCGGTATGAGTCTTTTTTATACAAAAAAATTATTGACGTCAAACGAATCTGCTTATCGCCATTTGTTGTTAATTATAGCAAATTAAATTATAATCACCATTTGTTTTCTTCATGAAAAACACATTTGGCGCACGTGTGTTTCTTGTTCCAAAAGTCTACCAGGTTATATTTTTTATTAAAAAAATTATTATCGTCAAATGGATCTACTAACCGCCGTTTGTTATTAATTTTAAGAAAACAAATTATAATCACCATTTGTTTTCTTCATGAAAAACACGTAAACACGATAGATTAATTTAATGTTTGGTTTAAAATATGTCTTTATTTCATGTACCTAGTGTTTTAAAAAAATACGAAAAGAAAAAAAACAAGAAAAATATATTTAACAGTTTTATTTTATATTGTAATTACCCCAAGCATAGGTTGAAACCCCATCCTCCTTTATATGTCTCTTATCATCTAAACAACTTAAGGATATTTTATTTACATTTTGCGTATATATATTATGTATTTGAGATCTAAATATTAACATATTACTATAATAAATCTTCTGCTTATACAAACAATCTCTGTAATTGGTTATACTTAATTAATCTACAGCAATTTTCTTAACCCCTTTCGCTTTCTTTACAACCTTATTATCTGTTACATCTATAGAATACATTTACGCACTACGCAAAACTGATGATGTTTGAATCGCCCTTTTAATGTAATAGTCATTAGACGACTTACAATACGGTGTGTTAGATTTGTTGACGCTTTAACCATTATTATACTTATGTTCAGTAGCACTTCTACTATGTACTTTAACGATCTAACACCCGGTATGAGTCTTTTTTATACAAAAGATTGTTTACGTCAAACGGATCTACTTATCGACATTTGTTGTTTATTATAAAAACAAACTATAATCACCATTTGTTTTCTTCATGAATGACACCTTAGACGCACGTGTGTTTCTCGTTCCAAAAGTATATCAGGTTATATCAGTATAAAAGACTCAAATTTCAAGCTTAAATCACATCCGACTCAACTTTGCATCTGGTAAGCATTTAATATTATTTGTATTGATAGAGGTTGACGATAAAAATTTTTTTTTGTGGATGACGAGGAGGAGGATGTCGTCGACGGTGAATCGCAAATGTTTCCTAACGACATGGGATACTACAACAACAACAATAGTCAGTTCCTATAATTTTTGGTTTTATAAGACACCACTAGTAGTATAGCTATGTAGGATCTGGAACACTTCGATGGTCTACTTTGTATTATACCTATATGTAAATAAAAAATATTATAATCTAAATGAAAGCTAAAGTTTAATTT